CTTGATATGTTGTGAGTCGCGCAGTTCAGATATCCCCCGTTTTATAGTTAGGGATAGGCCAATTTCCTAAATCAGATTTTATAACATTGTTCAATACGTTGTTTTTTTTATAATAAACTTCTTTTTCATTTGTCCTCCTGACTTTGCATTCATCCTCCTGAGAGGCTCATTCCTGGATTTCGGAGTGACTCTAACCCTCACACCTTAACTATTTGTTTTTTTGTCTAAATCGGAGGTGTGTCCGACAAAACACAGGACCCTACCCTAAACTTGCGTAATCAAATTTTTGACGGCCCCCGACGCCCATACGTGTTTCTCACAAACGGCAAAGGATCGTCTACTTACGCAAATATTTCTCTTATTATAAATAACATTCTATTCGTATTTGCAACACCGGACTTAATTTTCTCAATTTTTTTCTCTTTTTGTAAACCGGAAGCCACCATTGCCCCGGGGATAAAACCACTCAACTCTTGTAGTTGATCGTGGGTTCGCGCTTCTCCAACGGGTCGTTCACGTGGAGTTTTTACATTAGTAACAGCTAAATAGACACTATCACATAAAACACCTCCCGGGAGACATTTCTCCCTTGGCAGTTTGCCGTGTGTCGCTTTTTTCATGAATAAACATTCGTAAAAAAAGCGACACACGGCGGGCCCCGCCCCTCACCAGCTCGAAGAATAGTTGTTGTTGTAAGCTATATTTTCAAGTTACAATAAATCTGGATGAAATTTATGTAACTAGAGAGTTGTCTCTGTGCCTAACGATTCAGAACTGCTCGGATACCTTGTTATTACGCACAGATCGGCGATCTCACACTGTCCACCAAACCGAAGCCTGCAATCGGCGGGGGTCTACTACACATTTGTTTCAAGATGGTTTCTAGAGTGAGCGATCTGAAAATGGATATTATTTTTCTCTTTGTATAACTGAATAATTTGCTTTGCAGTTAATATTCTATGGATCCTGAACATAGCGAATATGTTTGTTTTCTCTCTTTCCGTATTAACAAATTATTTTTCGAACACTACTTATTGTCGAAGAATAGAGATATTGTTAATCAATTGTTGACTTTTCATTTTAAAAAACATGTGAAGAATTATTAATTAGATGATAATAATTACAGAGAATAAATTTATTAAAATAAATATTCAAAACATATTTATAACGTGATTAAATGCTTCATAATCCTTAATAAATTAGTGTAAATCTTATAATCTCTTAAAAGTAAAGAAGTCATTTGAAAATTAATATAGTGAGAAAATTATACAGAGTAATGTTTATTTTTCCTTTACATTTTCTGAATGTCTCTTAAACAAAAATGTTTTCGTTACTAAATAATAAAGTTGTAATTTGAAAATTCTGTTTAACTTAATAACTTGATATTGGGTAGAAGAGATTATAGTTATAAAACAACTGTAGCCTTTGTCTAAGATTTTGCACTTTTAAAGATCTGGTTATGATCGAGAGCCTCGCCTTATTCTTAGAGGCTTCATCCCACTGCTGCTTTCTAATGTTTTTATCCCGTATATGTATATAGTCTCTAAAAAATGGAGCCAGAGATCTCAAAAGTGCTTAAAATGACCCGAATATATGCTTCTGCTTAGTACACTAAAGTGACCATATCTTGAAATGTAAAACGCGACATGCTAGGCCGAGCACTTCGATGAGTTACGCGATTAATTTTTGTAGATCACACGATTCATTTTTCTACCTTTTTGATATCGTGGGTGACAGAAGTTACGTACAACCGTAGCAACAATAAACAGTTAAGAATTACCCTGAAGAAGTCGGCTTCTACCGTACTACTTTAGATGCAGTTTTTTACGTTTTTGCGGGAAATATTTTTAGACCCATCTAAAAATTCTCTAATTAGTCTCGGAAGAGGAGGACCTAATTCTTGCACCCGATGAAAACGGGTAAGATCGATTATATAACACAAAAGTTATCTTACGTAAGGTTTTATCACACTGAATGACCAATCTAACAGTTTAAAAATTTGTAAATTGTTACTAATTTTAAAACTTAGATTGGTCATTCAGTGTGATACAAAGGTTGTTTATATATATAAATGAGGATGTTTGTTCGCAATACACTCCTAAACCGTTCGACTAATTGCTATGAAAGTCGGTAGATACGTCCATACACTTCTAACTTAGATAATGCCGTACATTCCACCTCAAAATATCGATTACATTTCTATAAATTAATTTTTATTTACATTAATTTTCTGAGCCATCTATTGGCCAAATCGCCATCTAATGACAAAAAGTTAACAAAATATAATTCTTACAAAAAAGGGGATATTTTTTAAAAAAATATATATATATTGTATTCACCGAATTACTGTGATAATGATATAGCGCGAAATACATGCGTCATTACTACGACAGGTAGCACGTAGCACTAGCCTGCGTGGAGTGTCGTAGTGTTTTACCCCGTATATCATACTTTTTCTGTTAACAATACAGTCGTGCCGGTTACGTATCTATATTTTAAAAATTCTTTCTTCCTTTACTGTACACAATTTAAAGAATTTTTAAAATGTGTTAGATTGTGTCACTCGATGTGATAAACCCTTACGTAAAATAACCTTTGTAAATATAAATCAAATAATGTAATATAAGGGTTAAAAGTACGGAATAATCTAATAATCTCTTTGCTGTTGTTATTTTTTGCTCGAGCAACACCGGGGTTCACCTGCTAGTGCTTTGATAATTCCACTTGCAGGAATATCTCCATTTAGTGCAGCTGTAGATCGATTCAATTGATAGGCTGCTGTACGGATTGCCTCTCCTCAAAGGTGTTTAGACACATCACTTGTCTTCTTGCCTTATCCAAGAGTGTTCTTTAGTCGCAGTTTTCTCTATCGAAGACGTTAACTGAGAACTTACTGTATAAGTTGTTCCAGTTTTATTTATTCATCATCACAAATGTACACGAAACAAACGCGATTAACTGATTTTTGGGCTACCCGTTGTAATTTGCGTAAACGCCATTTTCTCGTTACTCTCTTCAATTTAACAGAAAATTCAAATCTCTCCTGTTTTCAAATAAGCACCTTTTTTTTATGATTTAAACACATTTACAGAAAACAACTAACTGCATATACAGAGCCGTCGAGAGAGAAATCTTTGGGGGATTTCTCCCGTTCCCGGAGGAAACTTAGAAAATAAAATTAATTTTTGATTCTGATGAAACCGTGTTGTAGTTTACCTTGCTTTTTTACAGACACACTACGGTGACATTATTCAACACTTGGCAGATTAACGTTACTTTTTATTAATAAAGAAATATTCTAGTGTTTTATTCATTTAAAACAAATAAAAGGAGAGGGGCCCCGCTCTACCAGGAACCCAAACAAACTCTCGACGGCCCCCAGCGACGAATAGGAATTAAAGATTTATTTACTGGTAAGTCAAGAAAAATCGCCATTTCTTTTAAAACACGTGACAAGTAGCATTCCTGTCGCCGTAATTCTGAGTTACTCGCCACACTGAAGAATTCGTACCATGATAAATGATGTGCAGATAAGCAAATATAGAAGCTATACATACAAATAAATAAATATATGTATATATATATATATATATACACACACACAATTTATTAAGACATATATTCCTTAAATATATATGCTTATATTTAAACGTTATCAGCAACGTTTACTCGAGATAAATATATGATAAAAAAATTATCTTAATTTACAAAATATACAAATAATGTCAACACGAGATTTATAAGTTTCCATCGAATATACTCATGAATCAAGAAGTATAAAGGAGCTTTCAAGATGGCTACTTAACATGTGTTCTGCTAACATGTTTCGTCTTCGAAAAGTACAGTACAGCCCACATGCCAAGCAACATCGGTAACTGTACGCTAAAATTTAGGTGTTTGTCCGATTATTTGCCTGAACGTAACGTGTCTAGCCTAACAATAGTAATTTTTGAGGGATACTCGAGTCTCCTGGGAGACTTACCACGTGTTACCTCAATAGTCGAAGCGCCACACGTGTATACATTTGAAAAAATAATCACGTTGTGTTTATGATTCAATTATATTACTATGATAACGAACAATGCATTGTTCATTCATAAGCTCGTCACTTTGTCGAAGGTTTGATACTGTACTTACTTCGAAAAACTGTCTTACAAAGTTCAATAAACAAGGTGACAGTGTTGTATTATCGAAATTATTAGCCTACTCTTCGACTTTTTCCTTGTTTTCCTCTATTTATAGAGCTTTCTAACACGGTTTTCCGACGATCAGTACCTTAAATCTTTGGTGTGTCCACATCAGATTAGATACCGAACCACCAAACTTACTTTGTCCATCACTGAATAACTGTCATTTACGTCACAATTTCATTGTTAATTTTACGTAATATTGAGCTTTAAATTACTATTACTTTTCCTTAAAAAGTACGTAACTTCAATTCGTTACGGCGTTACTAAGCGTAACTCGTGTGTAAGTTACGACATAATTCTGTTACTAATTTACCAAAAAATAATTAGGTTTTTTTGTTTTTTTAAATGGGAAAAACTAAGCGTGTAAAACTTCTTTAGATTTGATGCTGTAAAATTACGGTTTTTAGACACATTAAGATATAATTTGAAGAAAATTATGTATTTCTTTTTTTTTGAATGGCGAATAAAAAGTAAAATACATATTTTCTATTTAGATTTTTTTTCTTAAATTATGTTCAAACACACACACACACTATTAAAAAAAAAAAGAGGAAAGTTTCCTTTAAACAATTACACAAATGGATTTTTTGCATTCTTAATTATTAAAAAATACACTGTGGATAATTTAAAAAGTTTCAAAAATACAGCACTATATTCTTAACTATAGTACTAGATTATATTATTATATATATATATAAAAAAAAGATACTCATGTTTATTAATTAATTACTCTTTTTTTTAAACCAATTAAATTTTTGAATATCTTAAGATTGATAATTATTGATGATAAGAAGACAGAAAAAGCACAAATAGCAAGTGACATCAAATTATATTTAAAAACCTTAATACGAGCATTTACTGAACTTATTACATTACTTCAATCATTCAAACAAACTGGTCAACTTTCTTTCAAGTATTTTTTTTTTCTACATGGAATAATTATTCTTAAGTGATATTTTACTAGGAACATCAATTATTTACATTGCATGAGAGTGGCTATTGAGATACCAAAGAATGTATCAATATGGCAACACTCCACATCAATAAGTTATAGTAGGCCAGCCACGTCTTTTGTGTTTTGTTGATTTTTCTTTGCCCTCTTATACAAAGAGCAAAACATTAAAAAAAAAGAGAGAAAAAATAAAATAAAATGAAACATCTTCCTCTGATACAAAAAAAAGTATTTGTAATGAGATAAACACTAAGGAGAATAATTATTATTATTTTTTTCTGTTTTTTTTTTAACTCTTTAAATGTAGGATAAAGCTATTTTATGAAATGTTCTTTCTTAAAAGATAAAACTAATAATTACAGTTTAAACATACATAATATAAAAGAGAAGAAATCAATGGCCCCAACACCAATCTTAAGTACATTTAATTGTTTTTTCCCCCTCATTAAAAATAACAACTGCCAGGCACTAGTGTTGTTACTAAGCCTTTCATCAGGCGAAAAATGCTTTGTGTGTTTTTTCATATTTTTTTGGACTTTAAATGCACGAGAAAATCGTGCCTCGAATGCTGCGTGCAACCAAATGATATTAATATATATATATATATATGTATATATATAATAATAATAATAATAATAATTAATAATAATAATAATAATAAGAATTCTTTCCTATCTGTACAATTTTCTTAGAGTCCAGGGGATCACGATCTCTCTTCAATTTGGAAACAATTAAATAATTTTTTTTTCCTCTTAAAAAATCAAGCAATCCTCTTGTTTCAATTAATTTCGACTTCTGGTGGATACTTTCTGCTGCACGTGGAAAAAAACATAATGAAGACGATTTCTTCTGGATTAATTCTGAATTGGCTTTTAAGGTGAGGCAGTTGCGTGGAGTAAACAAAAGCCTAATATTGCATGTTGTAAATCTGTCCTCCTTTGACTAACTATTAATATAATACATGACTTAATAATAACTAGGTGAACATCTGGTGGATTATTTTTGAACAGCGTGATGTGAGTGATGGAGAAAGGTGGAAACGATGAAGTATCTTCAATGGTAATGATCATTTTTTAGCTAATTATGAGATTAAAAAATATTTATCTATGACAAATTCTACAGTGAGAAGAGGATTGCTTTATTCCTTTATATGCATTTAGAAGAATGATTCATATTATACTAGCAAATGAATTCATATCATAATCCCTTTACATACATAAAATGAAAACACTCTCTAGACATCTCTGAATATTTTTTTTTTGGAGAACTAGGCAGAGCTAGTGGCACAAATGCCCTGCGCTTCCCCCTCACTCTGCATTTTAACGTTCATTATTCAACCGTGACCACTTGTAATTTTTTTGTTTTTTTATACAAAGATACAAATTACCTTGATTTTTTTCATTATTCACATACAACAATGTGTTGTAAAAAACTGGCGGGCAGGTGAGCAATTAACATAGCCATTATAACAGGCAGGGAATGGTAAGGTTTGTGGAAGCTTGCATGCTTCTCACAAATTATATCACATAAACACATGATACAGTCATACGCACATGCATACCACAGGCACACTTGATAAACAAATACATAATATAAGCTGTATTTACAGCATGTTCACCTACACCACCTTGTAGTTCACATGTGGATCCCCTTGATGTATGTAATTATGTACAGTCGGTGTGACCAAAATGCCCTTGAAGTTTTATCATGCTCTAACAACAGCTGATAAATTCTTCTTTCTTCTACTTGTTTTTTGCATTTTTTTTCCATTTAAGCAAAATACAGTCTGGAAAATATTTTGCAATAAATGAGATGAACTTTCAAAGAATCACAAGTTCTTTGTCCTCAGTTTATTCACAATTGAAGGAAATAAAATATTTATCTATCCATAGTAGGACTGTTTAAAGAATCACAGCATTTCTTCAAATGTAGCCATGATGTCACTTTGTCTATTCATGTCAATTTGACCAGCCATCTAAAGCAAAAACAAAATAAAATTTTTTTTAAAGTTGATCCAAAATTATTGCTTTGCTTGCATGCAACCTATTTTATACTTACAGCTTCTCGCCTTCTCCTTTCTTGTTCCCTTAATCTTTGCCTCTCACGTTCACTTACACTGGGAGATGTTGCTTTCTGGGTAACTTGTTGTTCCTGTTGGCGTGCCATCTCTTCCATTTGTTGCTGTTGAGCTTGTTGTGCTTTTCTTGCTCGCTCTAAAGCTTCCTCCTCTTCGCGCTCTCTGTTAAACAATCATTTTAAAGATTTTACATTTGTGGGTAAAAATCACATAATTGTTAATTTAGCTAACTAGATGACAAATCAAATCATAAAATTTAAATTTGTTTTTGTCAATTTTTTTTAAAGCAACATTTACCTTTGCCTTTCTCTTTCTAATTTTATCCTCTCTCTTTCTGCTTGCTCTTTCTGATGCCTTCTCAATTCTTGTTGTTCTATTAACTGCCTTTGCTGTAAGAAATATAAACAAACCATTTATATATCTTTTTTGTTTACATAATGCAGAATGTACAAATTAACTTTGCAAAATTAATTTACCCTATCTCGCTTCTCTATGGCTTGCTTTTTAAATTGTTGGAAGCTATCCATAGCAGAAGTTTTCAGTACAGACGGATTGCTTGTGCTTGGACTATTGGAAACCACTTGGGCCAGACTTGACCACGATCCATAATTCTTTAGTTTGGACTCATTCTAAACATCAAAATTAATTTGTTTTCATGTTTAGTATCATATTAAAAAAAATAATTTGCAATTTAAACTTTTTAAAATGTAATAAAATATAATAATAATAATAATTAAAATATATTTTTCCCCTTACAGTCCTTTTCTTTATATATATACTTTAAATAATTAGTTCAGATTACCAAGTGTGTGTTATAAATGCATTATTAATTTAAAATTAAAAACTTTTCAAACAAAATTTTGCTCTGCTTAAAAATTTAAATAAAACTGATAAAGAAATGATAAAATTTTATATATGTTCAGATAGTAAACATTCATGCTCAAGATAATCATCAAAGAAAACTATTAGTTTTCATGTGATTTGAATCTCTATCTTTTTCAAAAATTCAAATACATATATTCCAATATATATATATATATGTTAGCAGATGAGCCAGGTGTTGCTTGGGCAAAAAGTAACGATAGCGAAGATTAAGATTATTAGATTATAGCTGATCGTACCCATTTTCATCGGGTGCAAGAAATTCTTTAATTAGTTTCTTCCGAGATTAATTAAAGAATTTTTACGTGGTCTAAAAATATGTTCAATTTTCTGCAAAAATGCAAAAAACCACATCTAAAATAGTACAGTAAAGCAGAGTTTTTTAAAATAATCCTTAACCCTCTCCCTCTCTTTTCCAAAAATTGGTCAGATGGGTAAGCAAGCATTAATATTTCTTAAAATTTATACACTGAGTCACAAACAAGTTTCATTAAAAAAGTATTAAATAAAAGAAAGTTCTTAGCTTGGCACATAATCTGAATTTAGCTAATAAAGTTGTGTAGAATTACTTTAAACTTATACTCTTTAATTTGAGAATGAAACAATCTCTTAATTTTACATTTTACCTGAATAAATTTCTGTGTCTTTATTAAGAAATATAAATCAACTAGCTTGCCCTTTAACCAACTTAATTATAAACAATAGTATATGCACATATATGTATGTATATGTGCTTATGTTAACATATTTACTTAATACTTTTTTTTTATCAGGATGAATAATAATAATATTCCCAAAATTCAATATTAGAATTAGTTCTCTTACAAAGTAGAATGCTTAGGCTGAAAAGTAACTGTAAAATACAGTATTACATACTTATTTACACTCTAATGAAACAGTCTCTTGTAAAAAAAAATAAATAAAAAAGCAATCTTAAAGTGTTACAAAGCAAATGCTGGTTTAAAAATTTAATAAATTTAAGGTTGCTAACATATTATAATTTTGAACTATAATTGTCTCAAGTATATATTATCTCCAAAATAAGTATTAAAATTGATTTAAATATCCAAAGCTAACAGAAGTAATTTTCAGTTTGTATTTTATATACATTGTTTTCCAAAAGAAACACACCATAGGAGATTGTGTGTAAAGCTTGTAGACAAAGCATCAGAGACAGGCGTATATGGTATTGATTACATGTTGCATTATTTTGGGTCTACAATACTCCAAATGGAAATTAATTGCACAAAATTCATATGATGGTCAAATCACTTTCAAGTAATTTAGATCCAGCTGCACAGTTCTGTAACTAATTAGTATGCAAGTTCTGTCTTCAGTAAGCAGATGATAACTAGAATGTGACATATTACTGGTTTTTTTATGTTAGTTAACTGCCAACTACAAGACAACTCGTAGTTTGCATTATTGCCTAGGAAACCACCTACGAGTTATCTCATAATTTTTTACTTGCCATATTTGTGCATCTACGATTTAATTTGTAGTATATCAGTATAAATATGGATAGATAGCCTCAGGGGCAAGAACAAAAATCAAGGTTGGCTCACATGAACAGAAAATATAATCATAAAAAGTTTATTCAAAATCAAAAGCATATTTTTATTGTTTGTGATAATTTTTAAAACAATCTTCCACATAAAGGTCTGGCTTCTCTGGACAGATTGGACAGAAATAATGCATTTCTCGGCGTGTTTCAGCTTTGGTACAAATTCAACATGGCTTTGTCAGATGCCGTTTTTTTTNTTATAATGGAGAATTAACTTTCTTGATGATAACTTTACTTGAATTATATGGTTGATTTTAAATTCTAAAACATCTTGTTTGGAACTTTATGTTTCCAATTCAATATTTTGAATTTGTTTTTGTGTTACCTGAAAGGTGGAAATAATTAAAATATTTATTAATTGTCAAAATGTATACTATATGTGCCACTATTTATTTTCCTTCTTTACTATTTACACTTTATACTGACTAAAACTCTCTCCTCTTCCCTTGAGGAGGGTTGGAATTTCCAAAAATCCCTTTTTAGTGTGCATTCTCATTATGTACCCTACTAAAACGCAGTTAAAACAAAATTTCATTAAAATAATACAGTAGAAGCCATTCTTCAGGTTAAGCCTTAATCCTTTCCCCTGCAAGGGAGAATTTCGAAAAATCCCTTCTTGATGTGCATTTTCATGATATACCCTAACTGTGTACCAAATTTCACCTCTTTAGGTTCAGCAGTTTGCTCTGAGTGATGATGAATCAGCCAGTCAGGACATTATATATATATATATATATCAATAGAAATGTCTTCAGCATATCTTGAAATGTCATCATGCCAGATTTGAACTTCTAAATCTCTCTCTAGACAGCATCAAATAGAGGCATTTTAATTATAATCACCTTGTATATTTTTCCATCCATTTATATGTATATATCATGGGTTTCAAAATAAGAACTGAGATCTGAGTACAAATAGCACGAGGACAAATATCATTGCATTTTGCATACAATGCTAACATCCCAATCACTGTCTCTCAGATTATTTTAAAGAAAACAAAAATTATAAAAATCTTAACTTTAAACAATTTACCTTTTTCATTGATGGAGTGTTAGATGTTAAGAGAGAAGGGACATTATCTTTCTTCTCTCCATTTACAGTCATTAAATTATTATCATGACTCCCCATACTTAATGATGACACCGTACTGGTTGCTGTCAAGGAAGTTTTTGATGTATTAAACTCGTCAATTAAACAAAAGTTATAAATGATATAACTTTCCTTACCTGGATATTGATTCTGCATATGACTTTCAGTTAACCTGGTTGAAGGAATGGAATTAGAATGAACATAATTGGATTCTTCATTTCTGATATCTTTTGTTTTTGTTATATTTGGTGGAGGAGGAGTGGGTGCAGATGTAGGAGCGGTGATTTGAGAATTATGAGGTTTTAACTCTGGTGCAGGTGTCAGTATCGGTGGTGGAGGAAACGAAGTTGACGTACTTGGAGTATTTGGAGACGGGATGGAAAGATGAGGTGCGTGAGTTGGAGTGGCGGGTCCCTGACTTGGCACTGATGATTGAGTGGAAGAGGGTAGAATTGGTAACCCTGTAGCTGCATTTGTTAGTCCACCAGTTGTATACAAAACTCCTTGTAAGTTAGGATCTATCACAGTATCTGTTATAAAGCGAAATTTTTAAAACATTAAAATAAAATATATACAATTTTACATAATATTTTTATTTTTATATTATTATAAAATCAAAAACAATATTTCAGATATATCAGAATTTGAGTTCAGATATCATCAATCTCATTCTTTCCTTCAAAGGAACGATTTTTCTATCGATATTTTAGAGTCTTAATTTTCTTTACGAAGGTGAGGTTTGTTTTAACTCTGCTTACCTTGTCTAGACGGTGTAGGAATTATTGTTTTCTTGACGGGTGCTGCCGTCGCAGTAGCAGAAGGACGAGAAGGTTGTTGGGGCAAACTATGACTTGCTACGGGAGGCCTTGAAACGGGTGTAGATTGTGGCGGTACTATGAATAAATAATTACAAAAATTGTCGATGATAAAATAATACTCAATTTATGATATATCTTGTGAAAGAATTTCCCCACTCCGTAGCTTCTTTAATTTATATCTTCAATTTAAAGATGCCTGAAATAAACTTTAAATTATAAATCATAATTACCTGGTTGATTAATGTTAGGGTACATAGTGGCAAGAACATGTTGTTCATTTGATTGTGAAGACATATGTGCTGGAAGAGACTGGAAGTGATGTGGTTGATGCGGTTGTGGTTGCTGGAAGTGATGTGCCGGCTGCTGATGCTGATGTTGATGTTGATATGAAAGATCCGTAGCCGGTTGTGGATAGCCTTGATGCATCATTGGTCCACCTAGAGGTAACTGTGGTTGAGTTGGTCCAACTATTTGGTTATGGGGTGTTGGAACCATCTGAATATCAGGCTGGAGAAGCTGAAATATCAAAACGCAAATTAAATTATTGTTAGTCATAAATTAACAATCAATATCACAAATTAAATGAAAAATAAAAAGTAAATATTTTTAAAAAATAAAAATTTATAGTTAATTGTTTATTCTTGATATTCTGCTAATGTCTAATATAATTTTCAAGATTATAATAAACTAAGAAAATAAGAGAGATCTTCTTTACATCATCATGGTCAACATTTTCAACATTAATAACTTATTCATTTTCAATGACTGCTTGAGTCAAAAGTTAGTAATGAATTGAGATCAGCTTGATAGTCAGTACTATTGATTAACATATAGCTATATTATTTCTGCTTCTGAATTTGCATTTCTTTAGGAAATTTAATTTTAAAAGAATTTATCAGGCAATTGAAGTCATTGTTATGTATGCATGCGTGTGTGTGCACACACGCACACACAGTATATTCTTCAGAGGGAAACAAAGTTTTGTAACAAAACTTTAGATATTTTGCTTCTTTATTACCCTAAGCACTCAATATATAGTCAAACTTCAATTTAATACCATAATATATATAAATGGTTTGCTGTATATTAGTTAATATGGAAAATATTAACTAATATACAGAATATATTAACTAATATATGGAAAATATTAGACCAGCCCGAAATGCATTTGATGTAGTCTTTACAAAATAAATTTAATTTGCCAATAAGATTGCTGTGAGATTTGTCTACCAAGAATATTTTTGGATTACAGAGACTAAAATCGTCATATTAATTAATACCATAATTTGTTTCTGAAGTTGAAATAGATGTGCTAGTGTGGTGATAAACTAAAGTTCTTCAAAACAGTAAGAATTATATTTAATTCCTGTTTGAATGTCTAATTTTTATTGAATTTTAATTGTTATTCTTTTCTTATGCTGTATATATGTATTAGTAAAATTTACATAGAAGTATGAATTTGGCTTTGAAAGTTGTGTGTTTGTTGAAAACAATGTCATTTGCAATGCAAAATCGTATATTTATTACTTCACAGATAAGAGATCTCTAATATATATTATGGAAGAAAGAGTCATTCACAAGTATTCTTCAGCACTTTAAGAGGCAGATACAATTTACAAAGATGATATATCAAGGTTTAACAGTACATAAAAATAGCATTTTCCTAAATGTATCTAAAATAATTCACCTAAAATAAAATATTCATGAACACTAGCTGCATCTAAGCAAATATGGATTTACATAAGCTATATTAGCTTATGTTTATATAATCAAGGAATAACTACATTTTTACGTTAAATATTTAATTACAGATACATTAAGATAGAAGTAATGATAATTATAAACGATTAAATTATAATAATAAAATGATTAAACACGTACTTGACTTTTCTCTGTTTTTTGTTTCCTCCTGTGTAATTCTAAAAATTAAAAAAGTTAATATTACATTAGATAAATCATTTTACTGATAACATATTTTTAATTAATAATTTCTGAAAGTAATTTTTATATCTATTCTATGTATTGCTTAATCTATCATATATTGTTGAGCAATGTGTGGTTTTGACACATTACCCAATCAACTTTGTTAGTGATGAATAAAACAATTTTTAAGTCTTTTTTTAAATTAATCTTTGTTTATTCAAAATTTCTAATTATTAAGCTGTGTGTTCTAGGATAAATCCAAACACATTTTTTTTTTTTTTTAAATATATATAAAGTATGGTAATCGAAACTTATAATGTAATATACACATATGTTTAATATATATATTATCTTAAATGGATTTTAGAATTTTATAATCATTTAAGAACTATTCATCAGTTATGGATGATTTAATTTATCCACAATAAAAATGACTATTCAAATTAATATTTCATCAATAGTCCATTACATCTGTTTCAATACAGAAATAATCTCTCTCTAACCTGATTCTGAATCACTGCTATCCGATGAACTGCTGGTGCTACTACTGCTGCTGCTATCACTATCACTGGAACTGCTACTACTCATGCTAAGACGGCTCGTCCCGCCAACGACATCAACGTGCGAATTTTCGTTATCTAAAAATCAAACATGAAAATTACTAATTCTGTTCACACATTAAAATTATTAAATGAATAATTCTGTTTATCTAATAGAATTATTTATGTTTCAATTCTTATAAATTTCACATCTGCAAAAATAAATATTTATATATATATAGATANTTTTTTTTTTTTTTTTTTTTTTTTTTTTTTTTTTTTTTTTTTTTTTTTTTTTTTTTTTTTTTTTTTTTTTTTTTTTTTTTTTTTTTTTTTTTTTTTTTTTTTTTTTTTTTTTTTTTTTTTTTTTTTTTTTTTTTTTTTTTTTTTTTTTTTTTTTTTTTTTTTTTTTTTTTTTTTTTTTTTTTTTTTTTTTTTTTTTTTTTTTTTTTTTTTTTTTTTTTTTTTTTTTTTTTTTTTTTTTTTTTTTTTTTTTTTTTTTTTTTTTTTTTTTTTTTTTTTTTTTTTTTTTTTTTTTTTTTTTTTTTTTTTTTTTTTTTTTTTTTTTTTTTTTTTTTTTTTTTTTTTTTTTTTTTTTTTTTTTTTTTTTTTTTTTTTTTTTTTTTTTTTTTTTTTTTTTTTTTTTTTTTTTTTTTTTTTTTTTTTTTTTTTTTTTTTTTTTTTTTTTTTTTTTTTTTTTTTTTTTTTTTTTTTTTTTTTTTTTTTTTTTTTTTTTTTTTTTTTTTTTTTTTTTTTTTTTTTTTTTTTTTTTTTTTTTTTTTTTTTTTTTTTTTTTTTTTTTTTTTTTTTTTTTTTTTTTTTTTTTTTTTTTTTTTTTTTTTTTTTTTTTTTTTTTTTTTTTTTTTTTTTTTTTTTTTTTTTTTTTTTTTTTTTTTTTTTTTTTTTTTTTTTTTTTTTTTTTTTTTTTTTTTTTTTTTTTTTTTTTTTTTTTTTTTTTTTTTTTTTTTTTTTTTTTTTTTTTTTTTTTTTTTTTTTTTTTTTTTTTTTTTTTTTTTTTTTTTTTTTTTTTTTTTTTTTTTTTTTTTTTTTTTTTTTTTTTTTTTTTTTTTTTTTTTTTTTTTTTTTTTTTTTTTTTTTTTTTTTTTTTTTTTTTTTTTTTTTTTTTTTTTTTTTTTTTTTTTTTTTTTTTTTTTTTTTTTTTTTTTTTTTTTTTTTTTTTTTTTTTTTTTTTTTTTTTTTTTTTTTTTTTTTTTTTTTTTTTTTTTTTTTTTTTTTTTTTTTTTTTTTTTTTTTTTTTTTTTTTTTTTTTTTTTTTTTTTTTTTTTTTTTTTTTTTTTTTTTTTTTTTTTTTTTTTTTTTTTTTTTTTTTTTTTTTTTTTTTTTTTTTTTTTTTTTTTTTTTTTTTTTTTTTTTTTTTTTTTTTTTTTTTTTTTTTTTTTTTTTTTTTTTTTTTTTTTTTTTTTTTTTTTTTTTTTTTTTTTTTTTTTTTTTTTTTTTTTTTTTTTTTTTTTTTTTTTTTTTTTTTTTTTTTTTTTTTTTTTTTTTTTTTTTTTTTTTTTTTTTTTTTTTTTTTTTTTTTTTTTTTTTTTTTTTTTTTTTTTTTTTTTTTTTTTTTTTTTTTTTTTTTTTTTTTTTTTTTTTTTTTTTTTTTTTTTTTTTTTTTTTTTTTTTTTTTTTTTTTTTTTTTTTTTTTTTTTTTTTTTTTTTTTTTTTTTTTTTTTTTTTTTTTTTTTTTTTTTTTTTTTTTTTTTTTTTTTTTTTTTTTTTTTTTTTTTTTTTTTTTTTTTTTTTTTTTTTTTTTTTTTTTTTTTTTTTTTTTTTTTTTTTTTTTTTTTTTTTTTTTTTTTTTTTTTTTTTTTTTTTTTTTTTTTTTTTTTTTTTTTTTTTTTTTTTTTTTTTTTTTTTTTTTTTTTTTTTTTTTTTTTTTTTTTTTTTTTTTTTTTTTTTTTTTTTTTTTTTTTTTTTTTTTTTTTTTTTTTTTTTTTTTTTTTTTTTTTTTTTTTTTTTTTTTTTTTTTTTTTTTTTTTTTTTTTTTTTTTTTTTTTTTTTTTTTTTTTTTTTTTTTTTTTTTTTTTTTTTTTTTTTTTTTTTTTTTTTTTTTTTTTTTTTTTTTTTTTTTTTTTTTTTTTTTTTTTTTTTTTTTTTTTTTTTTTTTTTTTTTTTTTTTTTTTTTTTTTTTTTTTTTTTTTTTTTTTTTTTTTTTTTTTTTTTTTTTTTTTTTTTTTTTTTTTTTTTTTTTTTTTTTTTTTTTTTTTTTTTTTTTTTTTTTTTTTTTTTTTTTTTTTTTTTTTTTTTTTTTTTTTTTTTTTTTTTTTTTTTTTTTTTTTTTTTTTTTTTTTTTTTTTTTTTTTTTTTTTTTTTTTTTTTTTTTTTTTTTTTTTTTTTTTTTTTTTTTTTTTTTTTTTTTTTTTTTTTTTTTTTTTTTTTTTTTTTTTTTTTTTTTTTTTTTTTTTTTTTTTTTTTTTTTTTTTTTTTTTTTTTTTTTTTTTTTTTTTTTTTTTTTTTTTTTTTTTTTTTTTTTTTTTTTTTTTTTTTTTTTTTTTTTTTTTTTTTTTTTTTTTTTTTTTTTTTTTTTTTTTTTTTTTTTTTTTTTTTTTTTTTTTTTTTTTTTTTTTTTTTTTTTTTTTTTTTTTTTTTTTTTTTTTTTTTTTTTTTTTTTTTTTTTTTTTTTTTTTTTTTTTTTTTTTTTTTTTTTTTTTTTTTTTTTTTTTTTTTTTTTTTTTTTTTTTTTTTTTTTTTTTTTTTTTTTTTTTTTTTTTTTTTTTTTTTTTTTTTTTTTTTTTTTTTTTTTTTTTTTTTTTTTTTTTTTTTTTTTTTTTTTTTTTTTTTTTTTTTTTTTTTTTTTTTTTTTTTTTTTTTTTTTTTTTTTTTTTTTTTTTTTTTTTTTTTTTTTTTTTTTTTTTTTTTTTTTTTTTTTTTTTTTTTTTTTTTTTTTTTTTTTTTTTTTTTTTTTTTTTTTTTTTTTTTTTTTTTTTTTTTTTTTTTTTTTTTTTTTTTTTTTTTTTTTTTTTTTTTTTTTTTTTTTTTTTTTTTTTTTTTTTTTTTTTTTTTTTTTTTTTTTTTTTTTTTTTTTTTTTTTTTTTTTTTTTTTTTTTTTTTTTTTTTTTTTTTTTTTTTTTTTTTTTTTTTTTTTTTTTTTTTTTTTTTTTTTTTTTTTTTTTTTTTTTTTTTTTTTTTTTTTTTTTTTTTTTTTTTTTTTTTTTTTTTTTTTTTTTTTTTTTTTTTTTTTTTTTTTTTTTTTTTTTTTTTTTTTTTTTTTTTTTTTTTTTTTTTTTTTTTTTTTTTTTTTTTTTTTTTTTTTTTTTTTTTTTTTTTTTTTTTTTTTTTTTTTTTTTTTTTTTTTTTTTTTTTTTTTTTTTTTTTTTTTTTTTTTTTTTTTTTTTTTTTTTTTTTTTTTTTTTTTTTTTTTTTTTTTTTTTTTTTTTTTTTTTTTTTTTTTTTTTTTTTTTTTTTTTTTTTTTTTTTTTTTTTTTTTTTTTTTTTTTTTTTTTTTTTTTTTTTTTTTTTTTTTTTTTTTTTTTTTTTTTTTTTTTTTTTTTTTTTTTTTTTTTTTTTTTTTTTTTTTTTTTTTTTTTTTTTTTTTTTTTTTTTTTTTTTTTTTTTTTTTTTTTTTTTTTTTTTTTTTTTTTTTTTTTTTTTTTTTTTTTTTTTTTTTTTTTTTTTTTTTTTTTTTTTTTTTTTTTTTTTTTTTTTTTTTTTTTTTTTTTTTTTTTTTTTTTTTTTTTTTTTTTTTTTTTTTTTTTTTTTTTTTTTTTTTTTTTTTTTTTTTTTTTTTTTTTTTTTTTTTTTTTTTTTTTTTTTTTTTTTTTTTTTTTTTTTTTTTTTTTTTTTTTTTTTTTTTTTTTTTTTTTTTTTTTTTTTTTTTTTTTTTTTTTTTTTTTTTTTTTTTTTTTTTTTTTTTTTTTTTTTTTTTTTTTTTTTTTTTTTTTTTTTTTTTTTTTTTTTTTTTTTTTTTTTTTTTTTTTTTTTTTTTTTTTTTTTTTTTTTTTTTTTTTTTTTTTTTTTTTTTTTTTTTTTTTTTTTTTTTTTTTTTTTTTTTTTTTTTTTTTTTTTTTTTTTTTTTTTTTTTTTTTTTTTTTTTTTTTTTTTTTTTTTTTTTTTTTTTTTTTTTTTTTTTTTTTTTTTTTTTTTTTTTTTTTTTTTTTTTTTTTTTTTTTTTTTTTTTTTTTTTTTTTTTTTTTTTTTTTTTTTTTTTTTTTTTTTTTTTTTTTTTTTTTTTTTTTTTTTTTTTTTTTTTTTTTTTTTTTTTTTTTTTTTTTTTTTTTTTTTTTTTTTTTTTTTTTTTTTTTTTTTTTTTTTTTTTTTTTTTTTTTTTTTTTTTTTTTTTTTTTTTTTTTTTTTTTTTTTTTTTTTTTTTTTTTTTTTTTTTTTTTTGGGTAGGTGGATACTCTGTAAATAATGAAGCTGTTGCAATATAATTTTTTTTGAAACTGGTTGCATCTCTTCTCCAATCAATGCATTGACAAATGCTTCTCTAAACTTTATAAGTTTTATTTTAGAAGAAGTTGCTTTTTGAAAAAGTTTGTGTGCATTGTGTATATATATACTCTATATGTAATGCAACCTTTTTGGGCCATCTAATAGTCTTTCTCAGATCTGTGTAGTATGATAGCATATGATCTGATCAGTCAATGCCAGACATTCTTTGATTGTAATCTCAAATTATATTCAGTTTGTCGGATTCTGAATCACTTAGATTACCGTAATACTCAAGTTGTTTTTCAGTCAATGGCCTTTTCTTATCCATGTTGGGGTATTTATAATTTGATTATAAAAATAATTATAAAACAACATACTCAAGAAAGACATAAATATGATGCACTCGACTTTATATCTGATTTATTACTAACGAATTTAGACGCTCGGCTGTTGTGAAGCGACAGGTCAAATTGTGTCTGTGAACAAATAAACTCGTAGTTTGGCTTTAGCAAATTCGTAAGATAATTAGATAATTTGTAAGATCTTTTTTTAAACAAAAACACATTCTATATGCTTTTTGATGATTACTATGTACTATAATTAGAGCTTTTAATAATATAATGTAATTAAATTAAGCTTTTACATTGAAATCCTGAAACCTTGGCAGTCAACGCATTATATAAAACTTTAAAAATTTAGTTTTAGTACCATTTTGCAAT